CTTTCAGGTAGCTCCCCAAAAGATTCAGGAATTTGACAAATAATCCTAAACGATTACATATTGAGCCATTGCATATATCATTTAACTATACATGTTTTCATTAGGTTCAGTAATGTAGGGTTATACAGTGATATGGGACATTTTGCTGCATAAAATGTCAGTGATTGTCCGCAGTTTTTACATAGACTACAGTTTGGTTACGACTGGAAAAAAATAGTTGCTCGCTACCATTTCTGATGCGCAAAAGAAGCTCTCCAGATGAAAAATGTTGGAGACCCCTGGTTTAAATAGTGGATGAAAGTACTAAGAACCAGGAAAGTTTTCATTAGTCATTAACTTAATTGTTTCCCCAAGAAATAGACTCTTCACATTATTCACACAGAGATAAATTCAAGTTATACTTTGTCTGATCGCAGCATCTGTTCTTCTATAATGTACTTATTTTTGTGAAGAAAAGAAAAGGAACAAAGAACTTCTTAACTCTCAAGGCTAACATGCAGAATGGACATGATTCTATTCAGGGTTTGCAGACAAAGCAAGTCGTGCTCTTCAAAACTCGTTCACAATATCTCAAAATTTCTGTTGCCTTGAATACACAATGACATGACATGAAGTGGCTTAACCTCATGTTGGCTTGTGCACAAATGTCCTTGCATATTCAAAATGACATCTTACACATCACAGGCTTGTGTGGTGCCTCATTTTAAAGCTAGAGCCTTTAGTTTATATAATTATACACTAGAATAATGTATGTCAATCCTATTCATTCTGCATCCTTTGAATTCTGGGAGGAATATCAAAATATGACATTTATGAATACCCTAACAAAAGCTCACAATATTCAAACCCTGGTCATTCTTTAGTTGGCAACAACTGTCAGAAGTTTCAGACCTCTAGGGGTTATTGTTTTAATGCAGTTTCCCTTTGGTGCCCTTCGGTTTTATTTGGCACACTTTGTGCCAATATGTGCTATAACTCATTTAATAACATTTTAGGTAATTCATCACCATAAATAACAAATGTTTATGTTTTTGTACTTAAGAGCTACCTAACTGTTTAGATGTTTTTTATTGTCGTGTTGTGGCGCTGCATGTGTGGCTTCAGGCTACATGCAGCTCTTTTAACTTTGTCTTTGTGAATAACTTTGCCCTTTTCTGGAAACGTTACGAAGCCTATCGTCCAGACGGATTACACCCAAACAGATACGGTAGCAGCCTGTTGATGGATTACATACGTTATGTTGTTCAGCGTTCCCCGAGGGGGGCGTGACTGTTTACATCTGAGCCCCCTCGGACCCCACCGCACTCCCCCGCCTCCTGCTCACCAGCACCGGGTGAGTACAACGGTGCAAACACTGCTCCCTGTCCGTCTGGCAGTGCATTACCAGTCCAAACACTGAACTGTGCTGACTCCCTTCTGACTCTGGGAGCTAAAGAACAACAACAAGGGTTTTCACATTTTAGGCCAATTGAGACTGTGTGTGTTCCTCGCACCAGCTCAAAAATGTTTTTAAATTCTAAAAAACGAAATCAAAACAGGACAGCAGTTAGACGGTCCAACTCTGCAAATCTAATTTCTGTTCCCTGTAGAAATCAATCAACCACATTAATCGACTCTGACGTTATTTTTAAACTTGCTATGCTTAATGTCAGATCTCTATGTAACAAATCATTTTTAATTAATAATTTTATCACTTCTTATGATCTTGATTTTATGCTTATGGCTGAAACATGGCTCGACCAAAATACAGGAAATGCAGTTCTAATAGAAGCAACACCACCCAATTTTAAATTCGAATCCGAAATACGAGAAAACAAAAGGGGGGGAGGCATAGCTGCAGTTTTTAGAGAGCACTTTGTCTCCCATAGAATGCCCCTTGGAAATTTTTCATCGTTTGAGTATATTTCTTTTAAAATGGAACAAAAGCAATCTTCTACTCTTTTCATTGTCCTGTACAGGCCACCACAGTCATGTTGCGATTTTATTGACCATTTTACTGAACTACTTTCATTCGTGTGCACAGATTTTGATAGTTTAGTTATTACAGGTGATTTTAATGTACATGTTGATAATGTTGATGACAGAAATGCAAAGGAGCTGGCTTCTGTATTTGAGACCTTTGGTTTCATTCAGCACGTGAGTGGCCCCACCCACAGCAGGGGGCACACTCTTGACCTGCTAATTACAAAGGGGGTTAATGTATCAAATGTTAATGTAGTTGATGTTGCTTTGTCAGATCATTTCTGTGTATTTTTTGACATGTGTTTTGCTAGCAAACCACCAGCTGAATTTACAACTGTTAGAAGAAGACACATACATGAAAACACAAGTGAACTGTTCATGGGAATGCTAAATTTTGAGAAAACTCCATGCTCTACTGTTGATGAATTGTATAACTCTGTCACCACCAGTGTTCTGACTGTTCTGGACGCCATTGCTCCTGTGACGGTTAAAATAGTTACCAGTAAGAAAAAGGCCCCATGGACTAAGGCAGACTCGGTTAGGGCACAGAAGCAAGAGTGCCGGAGGGCCGAACGGAAGTGGCGAAAGTCCAATTTCCAGGGCGATTATGAAATCTTTAAAGATGAGTTGGGTGAATTTAACCGGGTTCTACGTAGAACAAGAGAAATGTATTTTTCTGACATTATTGGAGGTTGCAGTAACAATTTTCGTGTTATGTTTTCAACAGTTGGTAGATTAACGAACACCCCTGTAAAGTTGCCCCTAGAATTTTCCTCTAAATCTAGGTGTAATGAGTTCGCACAGTTTTTCGATGACAAAGTACAAGGAATCAAAAACACTATCACCTCCACAGCACGTATAACAATGCAACAGCCAGAGAAGCTTTTTGAGCTAACTCACTTTGCACCTGTGGATACTGAAACTGTCAAAAAGATAATCATGAGTCTGAGCTCCTCCACATGTAGCCTGGATATATTGCCCTCTAAATTTCTGAAGTCCGTCCTGAGCAGTTTGTTACCTTCACTGACACAAATAGTAAACATGTCTCTGTCGTCAGGAACATTTCCTATGGCCCTAAAAACAGCAGTCATAAGACCTCTCCTAAAAAAGAGCAGTCTGGATCCTGCGGGACTTCAAAATTATCGCCCCATATCGAATCTGCCATTTATTGGAAAAATTCTTGAAAAAGTGGCCTCCCAACAACTTACTGAATTTTTAACAATGAATAATTCTTTTGATATGTTCCAGTCTGGGTTTAGACCCCTCCACAGCACTGAGACCGCTCTAGTGAAGGTAACAAACGACATTCGACTTCACACTGATGCAGGTAAAGTCACAGTTTTGGTCATGTTAGATCTTAGTGCCGCGTTCGACACTGTCGACCATGAGATCCTCATGCAGAGACTGGAGGACTGGGTTGGTGTCACTGGCACAGCCCTAGACTGGTTTAGGTCTTACCTGGAGGATAGGAAGTACTCTGTGGAGATTGGAGACTGCGTCTCAGATGATGTGGCCCTGACCTGTGGTGTACCACAGGGGTCGATCCTGGGACCTCTCCTATTTAATCTCTACATGCTGCCGTTAGGTCAGTTAATACAAAGAAACAAAGTGTCCTACCACAATTACGCTGACGACACTCAGATCTATGTCTCACTGACTGCAGGAGAACATGGACCACTGGATTTGCTCCTTCACTGTATCCAACAGATCAGTGACTGGATGCAAAATAATTTCCTCCAGCTAAATGCAGACAAAACCGAAATCATTGTCTTTGGTCCCCAGAAACAAAGAGAGGGCGTCATTTGTCAACTTCAGTCTCTCTCCCTACTTCCTTCAGACAAGGTCAGAAATTTGGGGGTAATACTGGACTCAGACCTAAATTTCAATAGCCACATAAAATCAATAACATCAACAGCTTTTTACCATCTGAAGAACATTGCCAAAGTTAGAAATATAGTGTCCAGGGCAGACTTGGAGATTCTTGTCCATGCATTTGTCTCCAGCAGGCTAGACTACTGCAATGGCCTGCTTACAGGTCTGTCCAAACAGACCTGTAAGCAGCTGCAGTACATCCAAAATGCAGCAGCTAGAGTCCTGACAGGAACCAGGAAGTATGACCATATTAGTCCGGTCCTCAGGTCTCTGCACTGGCTTCCTGTGGCTCAAAGAATAGATTTTAAAACGGCTCTGCTTGTGTACAAGTCTCTCCATGGCCTTGCACCAGAATACATTAGTGACATGTTGGTGTCATATGAACCGGCCCGGACTCTGAGGAGCACAGGGACTGGCCTCCTGCTGGTGCCCAGAGTGAGAACCAAACATGGGGAGGCTGCGTTTCAGATCCATGCAGCTAAGATCTGGAACAATCTCCCTGAAAATGTGAGGGAGGCGTCTACTCTGTCAATGTTCAAATCCAGGTTAAAGACTGTTCTGTTTGCCTGTGCATATAACTGAAGGATTTTATCTCCATTTTTAATGCACTGCTGTCATTTATTTATTTTTTTAAATTTCTTGTGTAATTTTGAAAGTTTTAATGGTTTTATTCTTTTGTGTGATTTTAATGTTTTAATTGTGTTTTAATCTTTTGTGTGATTTTAATGTTTTAATTGTGATTCTGGTGTTTGTTTTATGTGATGATTTGTGATGTGGACTGTGAAGCGCTTTGTGTTGCCCTGTGTATGAAAGGCGCTCTACAAATAAACTTTGATTGATTGATTGATATTGTGTAATTACTGTACATGCTGCGTGAAACCTGATTCTTAATTTTGATATTAATGTAGATAATGTAGATGAAAATGAGCTTTACATTTATATACAGTTTGTAGGGTTTATAGACCAAAACTCTGAAAAAAATGAGTCACAATTTCAAACTTTGAGCTGTACGCTGATTGAGTTAGCTAAGATGGTTCTCCTTTTATCACTTTTCTTCCTGAAAAAAAAAAACTACAGATGTGACAGAGGCCAACATTGTTTTGTTTAACGGTTTGAAAATTAGGTATTCTAGCTTTATTATCCTTCTTGATTTGAGTTGCACTTACCCATAGGTGTGCCGACTCCATACGCCCGCGAGTCGATGAGTCCTCCGACCTGCGTGAGGTTGCAGTTCCTCTGGATGACGTACTCGATGGTGGTGGACTCCATGAGGAAGGCGTAGTCCGAGGTCAGAACGCGGTGGATTCCCTCGTCCATGTTCTTGACCATCACAGAGTGTCGTCGGCTGCTCATAAACTCCCACATCTTATCGTATGTCGAGATTTTTGTTTTCTACCAGAGGAAAGACAGAAGGAGAGGATTTATGATGAATGTGGGTTGTGTATGGCAGGGCTAGGAAATAACCAGATCTACTGGTAACAGCTCAGAAACAGAGCTGGACATGGGCAAACCAACATGTTAGGTGCACAAGCTCCTATATGGGGCCTTGCGCCACAAAAAAAAAAGACTATAAGAAGCTTTAAAACATCTATGATTTGTATTGATGTGAGGGACTGTGCTCCACAGCCTCTGGCTGAAACTGGGAAGGGGCTGAGTTTACATCTTCATTTTGTAATTGTCAGTTAAGAATAACCCACTGACCTCAGGGTGCGCACAGGAGTATAAAGCTGAAGTAGATAGTGTCGCAAGATCATGAAGGCGTTTAAAAATGAATAAAAACCGCACAGGAGCCTGGTGTACAGTACATTGTACTGTCTTATACATAATTTATAATCTCAAAACTAGACAATCTCTATAGATGTGATGCATACCTTGCTGCAAACATGTTAGATATCTATACATTTCCATGTAATCAATGTCTTTCCATGTTATTTTGTTTTACGAACTGAACCAGAGGCGTCTGTTGCCAGCTCTGCTCTTCTGTCAGGACTGACAAAGCATTTACATTCAAATACTTTGAAATTTTCAATTTATTTTCATTAGGAAAAATACATCATCTGCTTTGACAAATGCACTAAAGTTATCATTCAACAGCTGCTGTATTTCTCCATCTGCCTCCAACATTAGCCTGAGTGAGCAGACACGCTGTGAACCCCACACTGATGGTGATCCTCTCAAAGATTTGTCTAGACTTTTAGAAGACACTTAGAAGCACACGCATCTTGAGAGTCAGAACAAAAGAGTGTTCTCAAACAGAGCCCTCAAAACAATAAAATTTGCAAAAAAATAAATTATAACCAACAATACAAAGCAATACAAAGGACTGCATGCTCTAGGCATTTAATTGTTTTTTGGTGATTTGTAAATGTTCGGTCTCCTTTACATCACTGCAATGCTTCAACTGCTCAAAGCGTTTTAAAAGGGGATTTATATAAACTCTCATTGAGTTTCTTGCAGCTAATTCTGTATACACCTCTGCTCAAAGTATTAGCACTACAGCAACTGTTTCACTGACATATCATAAAATACATTTTCTATAAAAATAATCTGTGATCCCACTAGAATCACTCCACATTTTTGCCTGTTCCAGACCAAATTAAGTCACATCTCCAAGGTCCTGCTCTGTCATTATTGTGCGTAATGACTTTTGGTGGCCGCTCGATATTTTAGATCAACTGGCTGATTTGCCCGAGTGCCTATCAAGAACCAGCCTGGACGGAGCGGCTGATTGAACGCAGGTGGGTGTCCAGAATGCCGATAAGTCCGAGTGAATATGAGGAGAGATATGCAGAGGCAGGTCCGCCGCAGGGAAGAATCCAAAAGTCCAACATGGCTTCTTACATGGTTATCGATCATGTTTATCATTGCCCCAATTCACACTTGTAACATATTGATAGGTATTATTAATAGTATTTATGAGCTTTTATCGTAGTATGACGTTTTCCCCTATGACATTTCCCCACTGTGGGACGAATAAAGGAACGCCTAATCTAATAAAACGGCCTTTCTTGGTCATAACTAAATTTTTGCTGGATTCTTGCATGTTTGAGGCATTCTGTATTGTCGTGTCTTTGATCTGCACTGCTCGCAATCACATTTGTTTTCCCACCTCCCCTAGCCAATTTCTCTGCATTTAGTTAGTGATATTCCAAAAAGATTTAACTCAAAGTCAAAATTGATGACTAGGAATTATTGCAGCATTGATGAAAGTTAAGACATGTTAGATCTTGAAGATTTTGAGACGTATTACAGAGATCGGAACACAAACAAGACAGGGGTCATAGGCTGGTATGGGCCTCGAGGGGGGCCACTAAATGTCATTCGGTGGCTCTGCTAAAAACCCCAAGCGGATTGCCCTCCACATTCATTACATAGGCTCTACCGGCGTCACATGTCATACCTCCTCTTTCAGTGGCCCTAGTAATAACCTTTCTATTATCTGGAACCTGGTGGTGAAGGGAAAGAAACCCCAGACAAAAATACGGTGGTCTTCTGAGTCTCTGGGGGTTGAGTTTAAGACTAGCAACTCTACCTCAGGAAAACTAATGTGGTAAAGAAACAGCAACAATATCTGCTCAACAGTAAGAGATGTAGAGATGTTGGTCCTGCTCTAAAGACCACTATAGCGGAAAGGACAAGTAAAATAATACGGTACAGCTGTATTTTTAACCTGTATAATAAAGTTATGAAATGGTGTCTTTCATAACTTTAAACATGTGTATTATGTTATTCAAAACCCACATACAGTTAAATTATTATTATTATTATTATTATTATTATTATTATTATTATATGTGATTGTATTGTTCTTTCATAACTTTTCTGTCATTTTTCTTAGCTATGAATCCTGTTTAATTGCTTAATACATTCTAAATAAATTGGATTATTGTATGCACTTTATTGTTAAACTATAAAAGTAGTATATAGTAGAATAATAAAGTAGTGGAGAAAGCTACGAAAGTACAATGTTGGAATTTATTTGATTCATTTTTACCGTGGATTCTTCCAAGTTGGGGTTGGGAAAACGCTGAAACAAACTTGAAACAATCCAGAATGATTTTTTAACAGTAATATTTCCATAGGCTTTCCAAACCGCAGACGGTTCATTTTATTCACTAAACAAACATAATTCCTACAGCAAACTTTGTGTCAGCGCAATACCCAGTGTTCCTTCCCCAGAGTCCAAACACACTGGAAACGCAACACTGAGTCTAGCCGGCTGTCTCAGGACTATACCTTAATTATTGCATTTCTAATATAACTTTATGTACAGTAGGAGCCTATTTCTGACCATTAGTGCAAACTCGACAACTCACAACATGCTGCAAAGACTTCTGGGAAAGGAAAGTTGCATTGTAATCACATCATGGTTGAAATAAAGAGGGCAGACTCATTTAACATAATAACGGTGATGTGAGATTCAAGGTTATATTCTGCATTATACTGCATTTACAGCACAGTGACAGCTCGGGATATTTCAGCTTTTAAATGTGCTCTTGTGCTGACCTTTCATTTTTAAGTTTTTTCATTTCACAATGTGATTTTAATGATGCGTCAACATAATCTGACATTGTGCTTTTGTAGGTAATTATAATAAATGCCACATTTGTAAGCCATGTTTGTATAAAATGACACAGGAAAACGATTATGTTCAGTATTGTGATATTTTGTGCACATAATTAAATTAAAACAGTACATCAAAGTATTGTAATATTTTATTCAATAATTATCTGTTTCCCTTTAGTATTTTCTCTGAGTTTCCTCTGGTAATTTACATCTGAGGTGTATTTTACTCTATCATGTCTATTGTATTTGAATAATGTAAGATATGTGCAGGGGGCTCACCAGGGGGAGGTCGAGTGTACAGGGAGCAATTGAAGCTGTCTAAAGTTGAAATGTTATGTTGTTTTTAAAAAAATGAAATGTTTTGTTTGATCCCTTTTGTGGAGAAGGCCTGGACACTGAGACGGGGAGCTGAAATGACTGTTGTTGCATGGACCAATATTTTTGTATGTGTAGATAAAGGCATTCATTCAAAGTCCTGTAAAAAGGTCCTGCCTGTTGAAGCACAACGTTCTTCACTTTATTTAATAATGTGCAGACCAAAATAAATGTGACATTTGAGGTGCGCAGTCTTATTTTTATCATTTTTTTTGTAATGCCTTTGAATAATATGAGGGACTTGATTCACAATATATCTCAGAATCAATTGCAATATATGCTATATCGCAATATGTTAAAATGCACAATAATGTTGAAGCCCAAATATCACAATACTATTGAGTAGTCTTTCCAATTCCCAACCCTAATAAAAACTTATTGGTCAATTTGAAACTGCAAAATGTTCTCAGAGAAAAATGTCTGTATACAGGATCGAATTCAACTCTTGAGAGCATTGGTACAGAAACACAGTATGCTTTGTTCACACGTAAACTGCACACACTCACTCCTCTCCTCTCCGTCTCCTTTCGGTCGGCGTTGCATATTTTTCAGAAGCCGTTTTCTAATCAAAAGCATTTGGAGAGCGCAGGAAAAAACACCTGAAGGATGTTATTCTTCTGCAGAATAAAAACAACACTGTGTCCTGTTTTATGGAGATCGCAGCAGTTTTTTTTACTCTTCTGTTTACGATGGACGCTGGCGAGAGCAAACTGGAGTGGCTATAAACGGGAACAGTGTGGTGTCAGCTGAGAAACGCTCCATAAAGCACAGGTTTATATTGATTTCAAGTGTTTAATCCCTCATCGCTGCATTATCTCCAACAACACGGAGGTGGGAGGGGGTGGACAGTGCGACTTTTGTCCCAGAGGCAATGGAAACATGCAGTAGTAGTAGTAGTTTATTTCTTCGACCATTAACATTAGATCTTAGGTCACATGTTTTCAAATATCTTATACATTTTAAACAAGAAAACAAATAATCCAGCCTATTGGAGTGAAAAATATGTACTGATAATTTGTATTAAAATTGCAAAAAAAAGACATGATGTTTCTTGCACTAATAATGGTCAAATAAAAAGGTCTAGTTGATCTTGTTTAATTAGGTTATAGGGGTTTTATTTATAAAGCATGTGTACTGTAGAACTAGTTACACAAATTATATGTACACGTAATGAGTGCTCCATAAACTATGCACTCAGGAGTTTTTGAGGATGAGTGAAGAAAGATTAGAAGAGAACAATCTATTTCATTTAAATATATCATCATATTGGTGTGTTAATACAAATGAACCTTTTAGGACAAGAACTGTCAAAAAGGGAGATTTTGTCATGCTGTGTGTGTGTGTGTGTGTGTGTGTGTGTGTGTGTGTGTATGTGTGTGTGTGTGTGTGCGTGTGTTTGCGGGATTACGAACAAAAATACAGGAGAGATGGAGCTAGATTTGGTTATAAGT